TTCCCACTATAAGTTCGATCTATTTTCACTTTTTTTCACTCACATTTCTTTCTATTTACTCGAATTGCGCAATGTTTTCTCATACATGTTTTATTATACTGTTTTTTATCTTATTCTCTTCACCACATTATCAAAATTATATTTGCTTACTTTAAAATTACTTACAAATTAATTTTAATCTCTCTTTTTTGAGTACATGCATAGTCATGCTCTAAATATAGTGGTTTATTATTATTTTTTTGCATGGTGAGTGAAGGCGTTGATTTTTCCTAAATACAAAGGAATCCACATCTTCTAAATTCACATTTATTATTCACAGGAAATTTAACTTCTTTGATTTTCTGATGCTGATTTCCTTTCTTTATTATCTGCCCACTTCGATTATCATCATATTTTGAAATTCGGTAAATCATCTGCGTACTGGATGTTTGTGTTTTTTATTCCTTTAACTGGAATCTTCTGTGTTTTCAGGTGCCCCCATATTTTTTACGGATATAACTAGATCAGCAACATTCCCAAGATGTATTGGATTGGTTTCTTCACCTTATGCCAAAGACTTGCAACCAACATATGATATAGGTGCTGATTCTCTGGTCTAAATCAGCCACAATTTCGACATGCTCCATAATATGCTGATAGCATTTCTGATACTTTTTTGTTTCTATTTGATTTATCTTTATTAGTCACTCTTTTGCCATTGTTTTCCCATAATGTCAAATCTCTATATTGGTTGTCTGATTTAGTTCCTGATTCTCGTCATTAGCTATCGTTATCTCGATATTGGTTGTCTGATTTAGTTTCTTGTTAGTGCCTACTGCACTAACAAGGTGGACGACGAATAGCAAATGTGAAAGAAACAGTTTTATAAGTAATTTCATTTAATTTTAGCTATAAAATACGTCGTAAATAGTATTCAAGTCACAGTCATATCCTTGAAATCTGTGCGACTAAAAAGTCCTATTCGCAGGTGATTTTTACATTTTTATCTTGTACTTTAGAGATCATTCAATTTTAGACTTCTGTCAGCCTGCATGTTTTAAATATACATATATCAGCTGAATAAGTTTTCCATCTCTATCATGGAAAACATTTGAATTATCATACCCACAACAGTACGATCTGTCAAATGAACAAACTGATGTACAGATAGATAACAGACAGACATATATCCATCTCATCTAATACTCTAGTAGTATATTGTTACTATGGACCTATTTATTGTTTTTAATTCTGTGTGTACTTAATAGTGCTACATTTAATACAATGTACGTCTTGAAGTGCTTGAATACAGCGCTATATCACCATAAGTCTATGTAAACACTTAAAATATTTACGTTTGCATATATGCACAGTTTGTGAATTTATATGTAACTAGCTGTACCCGTTCACGCTTTATTTGTGATTTAGTTGAACAAAGATGTGTATTTGTTACATATATTTTAACGTTACTACTATCTGTTCAACAATTTGTCTACGAATTTACCTATCAACTTGTTAATCAATCTACCATTTTACCGGCTTACCCATTTACCTGTCAACCTATTTACCTATCAACCCGTTTTACATGTAAACCTGTTTATCCGTCTTGTTATTTGTCTATCTACCAGTTGTCCTGTCTACCATTTTACATATCCTCCAATATACCTGACCACCAGCTATCCAACAAAGTATCTTTTCACCAATTTACTTGTCTACCAATTCACCTGTCTATCAATCTGTCAACCTATTTGCCTATCAATCTGTTTATCAATTCACCATTTTACCTGTCAACCAATTTACCTACTTTCCAATTTACCTGTCATCCCGTTCTAAATGTCTAACAATTAACCTGTTTACCTTTTAACAATAATTTACCTTTTTAACAATTTGTCTACTAATTTACCTATCAACCTGTTTATCAATCTACCATTTTACTGGCCTAAAAATTTACCTGTCATCCCGTTCTACATGTCTACCAACCTGTCAACCTGTTTATTTGTCTCCATATTCGTCTATCTACCAGTTCTCCTCTCTACCAATTTACATATCCTCCAATTTACCTGGCCGCTAGTTTACCTTTATTCTAAAATTCGCCTTATTTATTTACGCATTATAGAAAAATGAAAGCTCGAATTGATTCTACGTTTTATTTAGAAAACGTTTGTATGTGAAAATGAAAAGAGCTGTTTTTAGGGTAACCAAAAAATGTATTTAATGCAAAGCCTTAAAACCTTTATATATATACAATACTTATAAATCATACATAAAATCTGTCGGTTAATTTATTCTCATGTTTTCGAATTCCCATTAAATATCAAACTTTAGTTGATAATAAAAAAAAATTTGAATGTATGTCTCAGTCTATGTGCAAGCAACCTTACCAGATTCTTAATTTGAAAATTTATATGTTGTTTATTAACGTACATGAATATTTTTACTTACCTTACTGATACTTCAACTCTAACTATGTATGTCAAGAAGGATTGGCTTTTTATAATTTGTAATTACAGGCCTAAATTTTTCTGCATCACTATATGCAAACGTACATGTAAAGTAAAAAAAACTTTAGTATCCTTGTATCATGAGATAAAATAGTTATCGTAGTATTCATTTATTTTTAATATGTAAACATATATATATGCAAAAAATTATTGTTTATGTCGATATATCAGCAAATGATTTCCGTGCAGTCGCAGGAAATTATATACATATAGTAGTTATGATGTCAAAATCGTATTGCAAACAAATACTATTATGTTCTAAACTTCACATCATCAATTAGCTGTATTTTTTGCTTATTTTAAGTTTGTTATTTGTTGCAATAATAAATTATTAATTTATATTCACAAATGATAAAAATGTATTACTAAAGGTACTATTGTTATACTTAAAAATGCGCTACCTTTTCTTAAAATAGGGGGGCTTGGGCTACCTGTAACAGGGGTAACTAGTAACAGGCGTTTTTCAACAGGATCTTAAACGATATTAAAACTAGTGTGTATGGCATCGTGCCTCAAGGAAAATTGCTGGAACTTTCTGTACCAAAAATTATTTTTTTATAAAAAAGATTTTTTTCATCTTTGAAAAAAAAATATTTTTGAGAAATTTTACATTTTTGAAAAAAATTGTCATTTTTGGAAAAAAAACTTTTGAAGTAAAATGTTTTTTTATTTTGGAAATTTTGAATTTTTTTTTTCAAAGCAATCTCACTGCATAGGGACGAACTATCGAAACGCGTAAGCGCCGCGTCGCTATTTTACGAACAAACGATTACGGAACTTATAGAAATGTAAATAAAATTGATACCCATTATTAAAATCTTTATAAAATATCTGATAATTTGATGTGCATATGTCTAATGATTAATTTTGACCGCCAATGGCATTTTTTTACTTTGTTTACTAGATCTCCAAAACCGCTAGTCATCTTATTAATACAAGTAAAATGTTTTTTGAATTATAAAATTCGGGCGTTCCGCTCTTAAAAACTTACTTAAAGTTACCGTTTTTGGCACTTTTTACCCGTATCTTCGGAACGGCTAGACCTCTGCCTTTACCAAAAATTAATCAGCACGTCTCCTTATCAATACGAATCCATTTTTTGTAGGGCATGCCAAAATGTTCAGAAACCTTTAAAACGGAAAGATATATAAATTTTTAAAGATATTTAAATAAATTTCCATAGTTAATATTGGAAGACTGAAGTGGTAAAAAAAATCATATAGTTTCAAAATTTTATAAAATGTATGATAAATAACATAATAACTGTATAATAACAGAAAAACGATAGATTCAGAAATAAGAGTAATGTAAGTGTAATGCAACTACAAGTAAAATTATAATGAGAGTTGCCATCATTGCATTTATGTAATAATATACTGGTATAACATAACAATACTTTTTGTTAGTTTTGTATAATCAGCAAATAATCTTTAACAATATCAAAAATGTCCGCTTTGAGATAACTAAAGATTATATCGGCTTTTAGATAATTATGATAGGCTTTTCAGAAGAAATGTTATAAATTTGCAAATCATTGATCACATGCATATATTTTTAATTAATTTTGTTTATGATATTACTGCGAATTACATACTAAGATTAAAGTATTATTAATGACTACTGTTTATATATTTTACTTTGCATTTAAGCTTATATACATTTATTTAATAAAGGTTTTATACTATTACTGCAAAATAAATAAGGGTAATGAATGAAACATTTGCAATAAAAATAATAGGAGGATTGTTGTCATAGAATTCTGCATTTTTATTATAGCTTTGATGCAAAAAAATTATTAAATTTATTCTATATAATTATTCTACTTTTACTTTATTTTATTTTATCATTGATTAATATAAAGTTTAGAATCGTCGTACAATTATATTACATATTCGTTTTCGATTTGATTAAGGAAAACGATAATAGCTTATTTTTGAAATTGCAAATCAAGTTAACTAGAAAATGCAAATCAAGTTAACTGGAAATTAAATATTTATTAAATCGACTAGTAATACACGAATAAAAACTCATTAAAAATTAAATCAAAATGTGGAAAAAAGTAGTCGAACAAATTGATTTGATCTTTTAAATTCATTAAAATTTCATAATTATTTCAAAGTACCATTAATTAATTTATTTAACATAAATTATTCGTCTATCCGTACTTACACATTCACTTTTTCTAGATTTCGCCCAAATTGTTACCTTTCAATTGTCGGATAGTCTAAGAGACAATAATAAACTTGTGAAATACATACAAATAATATAAAGAATGATAATTATCTTAAAATGTTATCAAATTGATTTTAGTGTTCATTGTATGGTATACGTGAATTGATAACATTTCATCTTTGTAAAAATATCAGATAAAGAAAATTGACGCCGCGTTAATCTTACATAATAAAGAGAAATTTATTTTATCACTACTTTGTGCTTAATAATATTTCATTATAAAAATATGTTTACATCTATCTGCTAACTAAATTGCACTAAACTGCGTTTTTATTTTTATTTATACAGTGAAGTACCAGGTTTTAAACGGTGTGAAGTGCCCGGTGTTGAATGGTGCGGAGCAGAAGAACCTCCTTATTACGAGGACTTGGCTGCAATCCTGGCCGACATGAAGTTGGAACATCATGTGCCAAACATGATTCGCAAAAAAATCAGTTTAACACAATTCCTTCTACTTAATGAGCAAAAGTTAAAAGAATTAACATTCTTAATGCCTTTTGAAAGAAGGATTATAATGCAGAATTTGAAAACTTTCCACAAAACACCTTGGCTCAAAAAATCCATAATGAGACCCATTCCAGGAGAGGATTTTGGTGTGCTCAATTTATTACATCAAGTGACATCACACTATAAGCACATTGCAGTCATTAGTGCATCGATTAAAGCTTTAACCGAAGCCAGTCTTGAGAAAGGAACTAATGAAAGTGATAAATTGGAAATGGCTGAAGCCATAGAAACTTGTCAAGCAAGTCTTATGGATTTGAAGAAACAACTAAAAATTGTTCAAAATGTTTTGAGCAATGTAACAAAAGCAACTGACGAAAATGTGTTATCAATAAGTAGCGTTGCTAAAGTAAGTAAACCAAAACGAAATTGGTTGAAATATGCTATATATTCAATGTTACCTCTAGTTGCTGTATATTCTATTAAGAAGCTAATTAACAAATTTTGATGAGTAATATAAATTACTGATGTAAAACTATAGTGAGACAATAAAATTCGTTTAAAATGATGACATAATATATTGCTCTATGCTCGCACGCAGTATGACAATTTTAATGAAAATTTTATTAAAAATAAACTAATTATACATTTTTTCATAATTTTCAATCACATTGTTTTCCGAATGCACAGAAATCTATTGAATTTATGATAAAAAATCAAACGTAAAATTTATTTATTGTATAAAAAAGTATTTGAATAACCAAACCAAATATTTGCATTATATTTATTATTAATAATTTGTTTTATATTGCTTATCTTACATTTTTTTCATATACACTGATAATGATATGAAATTATATATCGATTTATCATTTTATTTTATTCATTTTTTTAACTGCCAAACATTGTGTTCGGCCCTTTTCACTCGGATGTCCCCCTGAGGAGACATGGTACGTCTAGCACATCGCGGTTGTATATCCGAGGCACTCGATATTGTAGACACAATGACTCAGTTCGTATTGAAGCATCGAAGACAATAAATCACAAATGATTAAACAGCGGCCTGCGGGCTCTATGCTATCCAGGATAGCATAGAATTTTATTATTTTAGAATTCAATAAGAAAAGAATACACTATAATTAATTGGATGAAAACAAGTTGATGAAATAAATAAATTGTACTTGAAATTAGAAATACAGAGAAATATTTAAAGGATAGGCTATCCTTTAAATATTTCTCTGTATTTCTAATTTCAAGTACAATTTATTTATTTCATCAACTTGTTTTCATCCAATTAATTATAGTGTATTCTTTTCTTATTGAATTCTAAAATAATAATTTTTTAAATATTGTTAGTAAGTTTATCAAAAAAGAGAGACATATAAAAAGCGACATTACATTTTACTGTGGAATGATAAAAAAAACTGACGCTAATTGTAGGTAAATATAACGGCAGTGAAAACAACCCGCTATGCCTATCGGAAATTGCTTTAAACTTCAACATACAACAGAAAATAAATTTGGATATTATTATAAACGTATCTTCTTCAATTTCCACAAATTCATATAAAACAAATTGCATAGCAAACACAATAATAACGTTTACAAAAGGTACGTTTTCGCCAGAATACGGCACCGAATTGCTGGTAGATTGTTTTTGAATCAGTGTCGACTGTCGAGCGGTAAGGGTTAAATAATATAACATAAAGGGTTTATATAATATACAAACTTTAGGTTTTTTGTTCGACAATTTTTTTTTCTAGCGCCCCTTCCCCAATAATTTTAACTGTTTTAACAGTTTATAAAGATATTTACATAAATTCTTTAATTACTTTTAATTCTTTTAGATTTAGTACGTAAAACATTAGATATAATGCAAAAGCGTTAAATATATTGATTTTAAATTTATATAAAAAAATCGAGGCGATTTGCGGGTTGATCATAATCAAATATTTTTAAGTTTTCAAGTATTTCTAACGCATGTCTAATATTATTATTAGGGTTTTGAAAAATTTTACTTATTCACTATGCGATTTATTCTATTGAGAAAATTGAGCAAAAAAGACTAGCCTTATATTTTTAAACAAAATACTAGTATTTCATATTAAATTTTTTTAAATTTTATTTTAATTTATTTTTTTATTATTTACAATATCCAATATTGCACCGTAAACTTCTCTTTATTCATATCGAAGGGCCGAACTAAATTAATCTTTACTTTCCCATCAGATTGTTATTTTTAAGTTAAATTTTATTGTCCAAAGATTAGTAAAAAACGCAAAGAAATTACATATTTTTTAAACTATATTGAAAAAAAAAACTAATTATATTTGTATCTGTAGTATTTCTGTATAGTTAATAATCAATTTTAGAGTATGAGCCTCGCTATGTATAAAAAAAGCTCAACGATTTTTGTTCCAAAGTGAATTTTGCTTCCATTTTTCATAGCTTCACTTCCATAAACCTATAAGCACGCCTGCCTTCAAAATTCAAAGTTCATCAGATGCGAACATTTGCAACAAAAACAAAAGTTACTATTCCCGGAATAAATAAGCCATTTTCTAAGCACCCATTTTCCACTTTTGTCTGTTATAATTTGTATCTATTTTTTTAAGTCAATAATGCCCAATAATTAATTTAATCTTTTGTAGGTTTGAGTTTATGGGATTGAACACTCTAGATGATTTCTTTTTCGATTCCACTTTAACTTCAAACAAAAAATATAATTAGAGATTAAGCAATCCGCAGAAGAATAATTTAATAATTTGCGGAGTTATAAATCGGTTAATTGTTTCTACTGATATCACATTGCAAACTAAATATGCTTTTTATATCTTTGTAACCATTGTTAAGTTAGATTATTTATTATAATCTATTAAGTATTATATAATATTTAAAAAAATATATAACAAATTTTATTTCCGAATCTCGTTTTGACGCCCCCTAAGGCGTGCGCCCGCATTTTTCGCATGCATTGCATTCAAGGTAGGACCGGCCCTGTGTATGTATGTACAATATATCAATTTTCATATCACTTATTCTTATCATGTGGTGGAAGTTCTATAAATTAATTATCACCATCAGCCTTCTGTGTATGATTAGTATAGTCGCAATAAATAAATTTAATTTGCGTTACAATTTAGTTAAGTATGGTTGTAGTTATTATGGATAAAGGATTAAAAATAATGATAAATATATTAAGTATATGAGAAGTTGAATATATTAATAGTCTTAATTAACTATAGAAAAGTGAAAGATAAAATTAGAAATAATTAAAATACAATTATTAAAGTATATTATTTTAATAATTGAAATAAAATTGATAAGGTATATTATTTTGACATATTGTTAGTTTTGTCGGAATATAGAGTAAGCAATTTAACACAAAGTGAGGGTAAATGATATTAAGAACCAAAATCTGTAAATATGTATGAGAACCAAATAATATATATAAAAAATTCGTAATGAGTTGACTAAATATAAAGTTGCAAACAAATATATTAATTTGATGTGCGAATTAAATAAAGATAAACATTAAACTGAACATTATATACAAATACAAATAAAAACAAGCAAATGAGAAGTTGAATATATTAATATAGTCTTAATTAACTATAAAAAAGTGAAAAAAGTGATAAAATTACAAATAATTGAAATACAATTATTAAAGAATATTATTTTAATAATTGAAATAAAATTGTTAAGGTATATTATTATGACATATTTTTAGTTTTTTCGGAATATAGAGTAAGCAATTTAACAAAAGTGAGGGTAAATGATAATAAGAACCAAAATCTGTTAATATGTATGGGAACTAAATAATAAATATAAAAAATTCGTAATAAGTTGACTAAAATATAAAGTTGCAACCAAATATATTAATTTGATGTGCGAATTAAATAAGGATAAACATTAAACTGAACATTATATACAAATAAATACAAATAAAAACAAGTATATGAGAAGTTGAATATATTAATAGTCTTAATTAACTATAGAAAAGTGAAAAAAAGTGATAAAATTACAAATAATTGGAATACAATTATTAAAGAATATTATTTTAATAATTGAAATAAAATTGTTAAGGTATATTATTTTGTCATATTGTTAGTTTTGTCGGAATATAGAGTAAGCAATTTAACACAAAGTGAAGGTAAATGATAATAAGAACCAAAATCTGTGAATATGTATGAGAATTAAATAATATATATAAAAAAATTCGTAATAAGTTGACTAAATATAAAGTTGCAATCAAATATATTAATTTGATGTGCGAATTAAATAAAGATAAACATCAAACTGAACATTCTATACAAATAACAGATTAAAACACTTGATGTAATTTAAATTTATTCTAATTGCACTAATTAATTTAATTGCATCAATTCTATTTTATTCGAAATAATTTTAAATGAAAATGCAATAATTATTTTTTCTCGATTGGAAGAGACATTGTGCAAAATTGTGAGAAATTATAATAAATGAGAGTTTCGGTGTATTCTCTTATCTAAATATACAACGAAAGGAATGCTGAGCCGAATGCACGTCTCTTAGTGTGTTGTGTTAAGTTGTGTTGTGATTCTTGGTCTTGGTCTTGGTGCTGAGCTGCTTACTCCTCCTTCGCGTCCTTCTGCCAGTTGCTGAGCCCTGAGCCGCACCACACTGCGAAGACGAAGAGTTCGAGTTCATTAATATTTGTTCTGTTCTGGTACTGTTGTAGTTCTGCGAGGTATTTGTTGTGTTGTGTTGTGTTGTGTTTAACACAGGCGAAACGCGCCATTTTTCTGCGTTACGCCGCTTACTTCTTAATACGGTATCTTGTTTGCTTTCGAGTGATATTACAGATTTTACCGTTTACTCAATTAGCTTCAATACAATTCAATGTATGCCGAATCAGTGTACGATCACGAATATACCTGTCGAGTGGATAACTGTGCACCGAAAAGGCGTCGATAATGGAGAACCTCGAGGTTTAGCTTTGCTGGCTAAAACAAATTAGAAATTTTGCAAATATGAAACATTCAGCATCAGCGCCGCCTGAAGAAGTTAAATTGAATCCCTTCGAAATACTTTCTGAAATCGATGCCAGGGAAATTTTACATATTATCACTGATGGAAAATGCAAAATTCCAACTACATCAAATTTTACAAAAGTTCAATTGCCTCGAGGTAAGCAAAGCCAATTCGTATAATAAAGTTTCATATTCTCTATATTTTTACTTGTTGCTTCTCAAGTAGCAGTAATAACTCTGACATCATAGATAAAAACTAGACAATGTTTGAATTTTATATTTATATTTCATATTTGCAAAGTTATCTGTAATATAGGTTACAAACTCATTGTTGACAGATTCATAAGTTCAACCAACACACCTATGCAATGTACATTGTATGCAACTTGTTGCTACGCACACATATGAACTCACATACACTTGTTTCTTGTTTGTGAATCCAGATCAAAACAGTGCGATAGTAGAATAACACTTGTCGCGACTGTTAACATTTTGCAGAGACATATACATTATTTTAAATATTTAGTGTTATCAGTATACTCAATACTATATCATTTAACATAATAACTTAAAATCATTGTGAATTTTTTAATTTTAAATTAAGATTTTCTAATTGTATATATTAGGTTGTCAAATATCTCCCTTCCGCTTTTTTGCTCTTGGTTTATAATACAAAAAGGCGGAAGGGAGATATTTGACAACCTATTATTTACAGATGGAGTGGTACCCCGTCTTACGAGCTTAATTCGTTCCGTTCTCGAAGCACTTTCCATATAAATGCATTGAAATGATATTAATTTGTTCGTTAATTAAAATTTTCACTTTACTTTAAATATTTGTATGATAGTTAAATGCCACTTACACACAAAAATCATTATTACAATTGATATTAGATGAACCTGTTTCATTCACACCCCCATAATTTAATTTCCGCCTTTTACTCGTATCTCGAATTTTGCTCGTATATCGAAGTAAACGACTGCTTTTTTGGCGGCTCGTATTTCGAGCAACTCGTATGACGAGACGCTCGTACGGCGGTATACCACTGTATATAATTCGTTAATTAAAATTTTCACTTTACTTTAAATATTTGTATGATAGTTAAATGCCACTTACACACAAAAATCATTATTACAATTGATATTAGATGAACCTGTTTCATTCACACCCCCATAATTTAATTTCCGCCTTTTACTCGTATCTCGAATTTTGCTCGTATATCGAAGTAAACGACTGCTTTTTTGGCGGCTCGTATTTCGAGCAACTCGTATGACGAGACGCTCGTACGGCGGTATACCACTGTATATAATTTTTGAAAATATGTTTGTTATATGTATATGTTTGTTAAAATTGCAGGAAATCAGAAGCCTATAGACATAAATGTGTGCAATAAAATTTCCATAGAACCTTCAAAGAAAGTTAAAATACTAATTTACATCAATGCTCTTCTGTGGTTGTTGACTACATTATTATTTTCAATTTCATTGGGTTACATATATATAGAATTGCAAGCTCAGAAACAGAATGTTTATGAACTTAGTCAAACTTTATTGACTATTAGTAGTAAATATGAATTTCTTAGTGATTCTGTAACGCAATCATTAATTGCAAGTGATTTTATATCACCTGAAAGTATACATGATAATCAAACCAAAGATAACACGGCGCACAGTGATAACATTTATGGTAAAACAAATACAGATAAATATAGCTCAGACAGGAATACCTCAGGAAATAAGAAAAAAATTGATAATAAATATGATGATTTTGAAAGAGACAAAGCAAACGCCACAAATCACTCTGATGGGTCCATTGCCTATAGAAAAAATCAACAAAACTCACCTATGCTAGGTAGAATAAATAAAATATATATTTATATTTGTATGCATGTATGTATATATATATATATATATATATATATATATATATATATTATATTATATAAATTTGCAGCCCATTCGCCGAATTAAAACAAGGCTTAATAGAATAACATTTTTTTTTTAAATTACAATGAATACTACTATTCATATATTAATTATGAAATTTAATGAGTATAAATACACATATCAAACCAGAACAAAAACTTTAAAACACTAATCGTAGTTTAAGAAAGTAAATTTTAATAAACAAACAACACATAAACCTACTATCTTATATGAAAAACTTAAGGAGAGAACATCTTGCATAATAGATACAACGAGGATGCTTTATCCATTAAAATCAAAACTGAAAATCAAGTTCAGTTATTTTCAATCTTTTTCAGTTTTGATTCTAATAAATAAAGCATCTTCATTTTGTTTATTAGTCAAAATATTTTCTCTTTTCATTTTTGATACAAAATAGTAGTTCTGTGTCATTTTTATATTAAAGTTTACTTTTTCAAACTAACATTATTGTTTCAATTTTTTTGGTTTAACATGCATTTAAATAAAGAATTATTATTTTATTTAACCCTTTTTTTAATTTGATGAATGGGATGCAAACTTATTCCAAATATGTTTGAATAAAGAAAGAAATATGTCTGAGAGCTGAGTTAAACTCCAACTCGATTCAGGAAAGAAGTAGTGTGAGAGATTTTCCCATTTACATTTCACACTGCAGTGGTCGAGATGGGCTTATTTTCAATTGGAATCATATTTTGATCTATATTTTCAATTGAAAACGGTTTTGTTATATAATGGACATCTGCATGTTAACGATCTTTGCCACGACAATTCTCATATATATATATATATATATATATTTCAAAGTAACTAGCAGCCCATTCGTCGAAATAAAAAAGGTTACCTTTTTTATTTCGACGAATGGGCTGCTAGTTACTTTGAAATATGTTTCAACGTCGAAAAAACTATCAAGATATATATATATATATATATATATATATATTATAAATATGGACATTTTTGCATTGCCTTGCTCCCAGGGGCTCAAATGCTTCCAAATTGATAAAAAAAATCCTTTATAAGTTTTAGCTCTCAATATTGTCTTTTAGATAGTGCGCAATTCAATCAAAGTTTTGTATGGAAATAGCATAAAATAATTTTCAAACATTTTAAAAATGTTTTTTAGATATAATTTAGCAAACAAAAGAATGAGTTTTATTCAAAATTTGACGCTCAACAAAACAATTATAAAAAACCTGTTTTGCAGAGCATTAAATTTTCCATACAAAATGACACGATTTTTCACTTTTAATTCATTTGTCGCTAAGTTATACCTAAAGATTTTTTGTAAAAAGGTCATATTAAGAGCTAAACCTTTTAGAGATTTTTTTTTGGGTGTTCCATGGCGTAACGGTTAAGGGCACAACCTCGTGTACACGAGGTCGTGAATTAGAGTTCCCCACGCTGAATAACCTAATATCATGCAGTAGTGATATCAAATTTTACTTGAAAATATGGATCAAAAATATGTTTCCAATTGATAATACACCATTTTGGGCACTATGGTGTGACATGGCAATAGGTAATCTTTCACACTATTCTTCCCTAAATCGAGTTGGAATTTAATTCAGCTTACAGACCGGCCCTAGGGTACTAGTGTCCATTATTATATAATATAATATAAAATTAAAAATTGCAATATATAAGCAATAATATATTTTTATTTCCAAGAATAAATCAATTATTAAAAAATAATATTAGATATATTTTTATAATCTTATATATTTTGGTATTCTCTTTTCAATATTGTGCATCATAAATAATTATTTGTAATTTTTTCTTTATTTTAGTATATTTTCTCTTATGTTAAAATTTTGTTATCATAAATTGTGGAGTATGAAATCAATGACACTTTTGTTATTCAAAATATTTAAAATTTTAGAATATCATGTTATGATTTAAAATTTTGATTTTACAATTCAGGTTTTATTTAATACAATTTCCAATTTTATGAATTATTATAATAGAACATAAATGAAATATATTAACAGCAATGTTTTTTTAGGAGGTCCTGCAGTTATCCAGTTTACAGGTGCAGTTCCACGTGTCGATATCGCAAATGAAGGTAGTAAGTATCATGATTAATAGTATTTATTTTAGTATTTCAATATACTAAAAATAATACTATTGTTCAGCTTAATAAATTCATTGAAATAATGATATTCAACAACTTAATTTTTTTCAGGGCTTATTGGACCTTGGGTCACAGATGATGTGGGATCAGGTATTTATAACTTAACAGAGTTTTACATAACAGAGCAAGGAAATGCAATAGAAATAGTTCAATCTGGGCTTTACATAATTTATTCTCAGGTAAACACTTTGTTTCCTGTCCAGAAAGAATGAAAATAACTAATAAGCTGTTCTATTACTATATTTTATTTGTATTTTTTAGGTTTATTATGAAAACTTCTAGTCTTTTAAACAGTTATTCTATAAGTATAAGAAAGAAAGGATATTCTGCACCCTTTCCCAATTGCATATTGCAGTACTACGGCACAAAACTCAAGTAGCAAATTGCCTCACGAGAGCAGTTGTTTTACATCAGTTGTGAGATATCTATCTCAGTATGACAGATTGATATTACAGCAACAGGAGATAAATCGCAGAGTTATTATGAGTAATGGATATTCTTTCATTGGCTTGGTAAGACTTAATTCAGATTCAAATACTCATAATAGAAATGTCAAAAGAAAATCTTGATGACATAGTGCTTTCGAACATTATTTTTTATAAAAGGTTTTATCACATACTAAAATCAAGATTTAAAGGTTTTCAAAGTAGAGAAACCTTGACACTTTTCAATTATTTAACCCCTTCAGCAATATTTATTTGTTAATACTCACAATGTAACTCTACCCCAGTTTAAAGATATAGATACCATCTTTGCGGCAGTTGGAATATTGTATATTAACGGTAAATTTGCTTTCAGTTAATTACGGTTATACGTTACAAATTAAATTTTTATTGCATTATAGAAAATAAGGTATTACTTATAATTTATTGTGATTTAATTTTGGAACAAGAAATTGTATATTATATTTTATTAATCTTGAAGACATTTGAAGTAAAATTATTAATTAGAAGTTTTAGTAGTTTTTAATATGGTCAGACAAATGGCAGTAACCTTGCTTGTGATCTTAGGTCCATGTGATAAGTAGTGACTATACTAAAAGACGAAACAAATGAATACTTATTTTGAATAATTTGAACTTCGATAACAATAATTTTCCACAATAAATATTGAAATGTATTTACTCTGTACATTTTGACACTGTATGTGCCTTCTTAACAGTTCTAAAATAATTACACATGAAATAAAGCAACTGATGAAAAAAATTATTGCAAACGTAAAATTAAAATTACTTAACTGGAGAAGACGAAACAAAACAAATGCAATTTGAGAATTAAATAAAAAGAAAATATATTTTTATACATGATTAGTCACATAATATAATGATACAGATTGAGTCCGAATAAAACATTCAATTGGATTTTTATGTAGTAGGAGTGAAAAGATGGAGTCACCTAGGCAAAGTAGTTTTAAAATGAAATGAAAAATGTTTACTAACACAATTAATAAATGAAACACCATTTGTAATATCTTTTAAAGTCATAGCTTCTTCGTATAAAATAATGGGATATTAGTATTGAAATCAATAATTTATGTTTCAATAGCATAAATTTGATTACTTGAATTACAAAAAATATTCAATATTTTTGTTTATAAAATGAATAAAAAGTTTTATCAAAATTGAGAACTAGAAGACTGATGAAAGTGTGGACTGAAGTCAAATGAAAAAATGGTTTGACTGACAATCTTGATTTTTAGTTTTCAACTATTATTTGTAATACTTTGTCTTCACAAATTAAGTTTTTTTTTGTATGTGTGTGGTGGTTCCAGTTTCTTAGCATAGTTTCCACTTTTATAATATAATAGAAAAAAGAATGAAAAACATGGTTGTTCATTGGGTTTGTAAGTATTTTAGAACTGCTACATAATGGCATATATAGTGTCAAAATAAGGAAACAACTATTTTAATATTTATTGTTTTTGATAAACTGTGTGATGGCCTTTTCAAGGGCATATATATGTAGTTTATTTCAATATTTCTTACGTTTTTTTTCTAACATTATTTAATATATCAATGCTGCTGATCATGAAAAAAGGTTTATTACATTGTAAGTTAGTAGATGAAGAATATCGAAAGCTCCTGTCATGTTAAGTGCATAAATGCTTTAAACAATATGACTATATTGTGAAATGTATTGCATGTTCTCAATGCTTATAAGCAATACCAACAATCTTGAAACCGAGTCCAAACTTAATTGTCTAATTCATACATTTATGCTATGTTAAGACCCTTTATGTGTAGCTCGGAAAATGAACAATGGTACAATCATTTCAATTTAATTTAATTTTATAAAATGCAAATGCATTCAAGAAGAGTTTAAACAATATGCCTAGGAAAAACTACTACCTATATAATTATGACTAGCCTTTTTGTGCTTTATCAAATTATTATGATAGACCAGCCTTGATACTCGTATAACACACACACACACACACACACACATATATATATATATATATATATATATATATATATATATATTTAATTGAAACATGTTATTTTGCAAATTTTGTTACTGGTGAATATGGTGTGATGTTTTTTGGTGAAATCCGTCTTAAATTTATAATAGCAGTATGTATTAATAATCTAATCAATCAAATTTATTACTCACTAAAAAAAATAATTATTGATTTCTTGTATTGCTTACTTATTTGTTTTTTTAAATTTTAATATAGTACTCTTACCATATACAACAAACAATTTGCCAATTCCTTCCAATTAACATAGTCTGTGCAACAAATATCATACCATCATCGCTTGTAATGAAATACGCACAGTGCGATGCGTCAAAAGTATTAAATTTTTAATTACAACAAAGTGTGCTTCATTCTAAGTATAAAGTATACTTCTTAATTTGAATGCAGAATGTAGAATTTTATTTAGTTAACTATAGTTCAAGTCAAAATATAATTGTTTATGTGATTGATAGTGATAATACAAAAAGTTTGGTTTTATGTTAAATTTAATTCAATCACAATTTCAATCAGAACCATTATTTTTAGTAGCTGTGAAAACATTTGGGAACGTCAACTTATGATAGTGATTGGGCCAAATGAATTATTAATGATTTAAAGACAGTTTCACATGGTATGTGGAAGTGTTTTTCATTTTTTTCTTTTGCAATATGTATTCTATATATAAAATTACGAGTGACTAAATTACATTGTGTCAAGAACACAAAATTTTTAGTCACTAATTGCAACCATATGATTTATGTTAGTTAATAATTTTAAGTTTTGTGGAAAAAACAGACTAAAATAGTGCCATAATAGAAAAACAAAGTTGTGACACTTCAATAATTGGATTGTTAAGAATAATATAAGTTCAAATTTCAGATTATTGTGATATTAATACATATTTCCCAAATGGTGCGTACATTTCAATTTTTTTTTACTTATATATATGTAATTTTATATAAAATTAAAGTTTGTTTTATTTTAAAAGAACTGGTATTATTTTTATTATGAATATAAAAATTTTGAACATTTGAGTTTAGCTCCAGGAATATAGAAGTGAAGTTTTAGAAGTTTTTAGCTATACACATATTATTACAACACATATTTTTGTGTGCTAGTTTGAGTATTTGGAAGTACAAAAAGACAAGAATTTTTGGCAGTGATACTAATTAGTAAGTTGTAAAATAAATAATCATTTAAAATCACCCTATTATAAAAGTGATTGAACTACTTGCCTTTACAAACTTTGATCTGGATAATAATACAGATAGATATCCGAATAACTATATCAATTAAGTTTTCTCAAGATCACTAGTTAATTTATTTTGCAGCAATTACATTTTTGCTTTTGTGTGAAATAACATTATCAATCAGCTTTTGACTGGGTGTTTATAAAAATACTTCGCTGTTTATATAATTCTTCTACAAGAGCTTTAACAAATGGATGGAAAAATTTACCATGCGTTGAATCAAAAAATTCTTGAAGCTTTCCTGGTGAGTTCTGCATTTTTTCATATTCAAAAGCTTGCTGTATCATATCAAATCTGTCTAAATCTTTTACAAATCTTGACTCTTCAGTTGACTGGTTCTCATATTCCTGTTCCATAAAGAATATAAAGTATTCATAAATGAAAGGTAAAATATGAGTTAATGAAATTATTAATAAACTCAAGCTTGTAGATATCGGAACTTTAATTTGTGTTGTATTAATATATTAACTGTAGTAAACATAGTAAACTGAAATCATTTAACGGTTACCATACTATTTCTTATTGAGGCAGTATGTCCTGTTCTTTAGTTTTTGTTTTAATTATTTATTAGTTATGAAAATTTTCTTTAAACTAGTATTAGTTCTTTTTTTCCTGGTTTGACTGCTGAATAATATGACACACATCAAGTGTCGAAATGTTTAATAAAAAATTGTTTCATATTAATCTTTCTTAATTTGACGAATAGGCTGCAAATTATCTTAAATATATTTCAACGTCGACAAACCTATCGACATATGTATATATAGGTATATCAATGATTAAAAATGTGACTTGAGCAAATTTGAAACTGATTTGAGAATTTTAGAATAAACTAACTTAAGTTTGTGTAATAATTAACAGTTATCACACTATGGAAAATCATCTGTATAAAACTATGAACAGGTCTTGCATTAATTTACTATTAATAACCTCAGTACATTACATTATACAACTCCATTAGGTAATTTCCTGCTAGTCCTGTAAGTTCAGAAATTTTCACCATTGCCGCATCCTCTCGCTTCCTCTTCTCTTCCCGACTTACTCCGCAATATGGAGTAATATCACCAACAATACATTCACTCAAATCATGTACAAGAGCTAAAAAATGTTTAGTTACATATAAGTTGTGAAAGTATCTTGCATAAAATAAAATAAAACGCAGCCTCACAAAGTTCCAAACATCGCAACCTGTTAATATTATAAGAATCATTCAACAAAAATGTTGTCATAGCCATTCGATACATATGACCAGCTATTGTTTCACATTCAGGTACATCACGTTTGATCCAACCAGTTCTTTTGATATGCTAAAATAAGGCAATTCAAATTAAATCGTTAATAAATATATCAAATAATTAATATGTCAAACATTAACTTTTAACTTTCCAACAAGTTCTAAAAATGCCAGTTCACCGCACACGTTACGTTTTGCCTCGGACATGATTTAGAGTTTATTAAAGTATAGAACAAAAACAGACTTTTATAATGATCTAGTTTAATTAAATTTTATGTAAAAACTAATACAATTTGTAGTGGCGTTGCTTAATTCAAATTACTTTGGATATAATTTGGCTGAAACGGTTAAAAGCATTTCGTGCAGTGGATAAATTCAGGAAGCCGGTGAAAACAAATGCATCATCTGATCAACATGTCATGAGGTGAAATCTTGCTTGGATGACAGGATGACAGCTTCCAAAACACTGAATTAACCTAAACATACGAAAAATACTACCAAAAAAATTCGACGTACCATAGATTAATGAACATAAACATAGACTAGTATTTTCACAGTGCCCACAGACGGCTCAAGTTTATGCTCAAGTATTTGCGCTATTTGCGCAAGCATAGATAAAAGAAGAGATGTGCTCAAGCATATCAAAAAATGTCAACTAAATCAAGGCAAATCCAGGCTCATCTTGACGTGATACAAAAATGGTTAAGCTTGTGGAGAATAGAAGTTAACAGCAGCAAGTCAAAACACATCACTTTCACTCTTTGCAAAGGGACATGTCCTGCAGTAAGACTTAATGACGAAATTATAGATCAAACAGATACAGTCAAATATCTAGGTTTACACATGGATAAGAGACTAACCTGGAAAGAACACATTAAGAAAAAGAGAAAGCAGCTTGAAGAAACCAGAAGAAGATATCATTGGCTCCTTGGACGAAAATCAAAACTTGACACTCATAATAAAATTTACCTCTATAAAGCCATCATCAAACCAATTTGGACATACGGCATACAGCTATGGGGATCAACTTCCAACTCAAACGCTTTAATAATTTAAAGATTTCAAAACAAGTTATTAAAAGAAATTTTGAAAGCACCAAAGTATGTTCCAAATTGGTTAATACACAAAGACACAGGCACTAGCACAGTTAAGGATGAAATAATCGCTTACTCACACAAATATAGAAATCGCCTAGCTGATCACCCGAACTTGCTCGCAAGAAAACTTCAAATCAACTCTACCAGGGCCCGATTAAAAAGAAAATTTTTTCTACACTAATCAACAATAGATAAGACCTTCGACAAATCACTGGCAATGGTCAGATGATTTGTATTTTGCCAACGCCTTCAGTTTCATGTCAAATATTTTACTTGTTGTCCGTTTCAGGACAGTTGTAAAAATTATTAAAATAATAATAAAAAAAAAAAATCAAGGCAAATTGCTGGAACGCTGGAACTTTCCGTATCGAATTATAATTTTTTAAAGATTCATTCGATTCATTTCTTTTGAACTTTTTTTCAAAGCAATCGCGCTGCGTTAGCTGCATATAGAGGAAATATCGAAGAAATATCGAGAAATATTGGTGCAAAATCCATACACAAAATTTGTTCTAAATAAAATCTCTACAAAATATCTGTCAATTTGATGAGCATATGTCTAATAGATAAACAAGTATAATTATCTAATGTGTATATGTATAACGTGTCTAATGATCATTATTGACCGCCAAATGATATTTTTTTTACATTGAATCTCTAAAACCGCTGGACCTGCCTTCCCTTAAATTTTTTCAGTTCTTCTTTTATCTATGATTTCGTCGATAGAAACAATTTATTTTTTTTGACTTATTCAAATCGGACGCTCCGTCATCTCAAAAACTGAATTACCGTTCTTGGCACTTTTTGGCCCGCATCTTTGAAACGGCTTTGAAAGTTTTTTGAATTATTAAAATCAATCCGTGTTCACGAAATCGTCGACAAAAGCTTGTATCCGAACACACGCATACTTTCAGTTTATCTATGATAATAACATTCAGTGGCAACGGCCCTAACCCTATGTGCCTAGATAAATAAGCCTATGTGTGTGTGTTCGGTTTGTGTTTATTTATTTATGATCAAAACGGTTAAAACTGTCATCCACTTGTTGAATTGCCCAAATAATGCTTAACCTCAGCAAATCATTATTCACATTTCGGATTCCGGCAGCCTTAAAAATATTTTAATTTTCAATTGTACCTATAAATCACAGATTTCATTCATGAAACAAACGCTTGTCCAATTTGCGCATATGCTGTCCCATGGATGTCGCTTCTTCATGGTAAATATTATTTCAGAAAACGAAACATTCTTATATCGACCTGATACAGTTTCTTGTATATACTATGGAGTAATAGTGCAGTTAGAATTACTTAGTAACAGATGTATATACTTAAGCAGTATAAATGTTAAATGTAAGTACAACCATATTAAAAAAAAAAAACAATTTTATTTAGAGTTTTATTAATTGTTGGTGGTAATTAAATATATAAATAAGCCATAACTTATTTTGTTAAATGTCCGCATTAATAATAATAGGCTTGATCCTCAACTGCGTTTTCAGCTGGTGCAGCTTCTACTCCTTTATTCTCATCTCCTTCTTCCATTATTTCTTCGGGAACATCAGCTTCTGTTGGAGATTCTGGAGCAGGTGGTTGTTCGGCATGTTTGGCTTCATTCATTTGTTCTTCTTGTATAGGTTTTACTTCAATAGAATGTTTCGATGGCCTCTCTTCAGGCGTAGGTGCGGGCACCTCTCCACCTTGAATTTATTAACTTAAGTTTTTTGCTTCATTATTCAAATCCATAAATATAGCATAAGATTTCTTTGTAAATTTGATAAGTTTGTTCTCGAATAGTACTATTTATATGCAAATTATAAATACCTCCAGATGCCCTGCCTTCAGCACTAGTCAGAGAAGGCCTTTTTTCTTGTGATGTAAGAGAACTCCTTTTAGATTGTTTTGGTCGATTATCATCAGGAATTCCAACCATATCAGCTTCAGCTGGTGGGACAGGTGAAGGTGCAGCAGGACTTGGCATTACTGGTTCTGCTGCAGCTGACTTTTTTGTTCCTTGTACAGGGAGATATAGCTTGAATTCTTGAGGTTTTTCATCCTCTGAATAAAGTCGGTCACAGAAATAAACCCTTCTTATGCGTATGTTGGCATGAATCTGCATGCGAGATGTTTCTAAATAATTTGACCCATAAGCTCGTCTGGTGAAATCGGCTAAATTAAATTGAATTTGATTCCAACCACCAGAAAGCCCTGAATATAAAAAATCCACTTATTATTCACTCAGAATCAGTGATATGTAAAACGCTAGAAATACTATGAACTTTTCGGGAAAGATTAGAATGGCAATTAATTTGCATTTTTTATAAAAAGGGAGGCACATGTTTTATTGGCTTAGAAACGACTTTATTGTTAGATACGCTTTTTGCTCTATTTTAACCCTTTTCACTCGCAAATTGCGAGATTTATATGTATTTTGCATCCGGCATCTGAGTGGAAAGGGATAACATTTCGAAATATGAAATTTGAATTTATATATTATTTATGTACGTTTCTGTAAATATTTTAATTAATACAATAAAAGTGTTTTATTTATTACAAAAATAAACTGTTTTTTTTTTTCATTAAATATTAGTAAGAATATTAAAAATTATTACAAAAAACTGTCGTTTATTTTAAATGACATTAATAACATAAATATCACTTACCAATAGGCATGCATGTGCAGAAAAGCCCAACTCGTGTTGTTGATTGGAAATTAGAAACTCGAAATCTTCTGTGCATATCTTTGTCATCCAAAATAGTTATTTCAAACGAAAAATATTTTTTCATATTTTTCACAATCATTACTAAGAAAGGTAATCTGATTCCTAAGCTTCCACGTGGATCTACAGGAGTTGTGATATAAGTTGTAGCCACATTTGTTCCCATAATTTCGAGTACCAAGGAGTGAACTTCTTCATCAGTCACTCTCTTGATGTGCCCATTTTGTACCTTTTAATAAAATAATTAATTGAAAACTAAGTTAAATTAATTTAGGTGTTATACCTTTTTATCCCAAATGGCAAGTGGCTTTCCTCCAATGCTGAACAAAATAGACAGAAAACCACTCTGATATGTGTTTCTAAACATATTTTTTGATTTATATAATTCTCTATATATATTGATAACTAAGTATTATATGACTGCATTTGTTTTCAAGCTTGTATGGCACTCAGAACACTTGATATTTTCTTTTGCAATTTAAAAACCTATTTAAATTTAAAGCACACATGTTCACATAAAGATTTATGGATTGATGAATAATCTAGACGTTTTCATTAAGTTGGTTATAGAATTTTAATTTACCTTAATTCTATGTAACATGAAAAAAGTAGAAGATGGAACACAAAACTACAAAAAATAATAAAAGTATGTATTCTGGTAGTCATATCCAATAAACCATTCGCAGCATTAATTAATTAGGGATTTAACATTCTTTGTAATGTCTATACATAATATCCTGATTGATAAAAATTGTATTTTGTTCTGTTATATTATGAAATAACAAATATAACTTATATAACAGATAAAAAGCAGTTAGAACAATTCAAATTTAAAAATATATCAATTGATAAAATGACTGAATATCTATAGTTTGTGATATAATTTCGAGTACATAAAAAATATACTGCCAGATTAATATAGTCAAACAATGCATTTTGAATTATTTATAATTTATTTAATTTTACTTCCATTACATGTAAATCATTATGCTGTTAAGTAAACAACATATTATAAGTAATTATCACTCTTAGTTCTGGAGCAGCAGAAGTTCGACATGTTTCGCTTCATTAGTTTGCTCTGCATATGTTTTACTTCAATAGAAGTGAATGCTTCAATAGCCTCTCTTTAGGCGTAGGTGTGTGCACTTCCCCACCTTGAATTTATTAAATTATAATTCTTTTCCTTCATCATTTAAATTAAAAAATATAGCATGACATATCATTGTATATTTGATAAGTTTGTCCTCAAATAGCACTATTTAAATGAAAATAATAAATACCTCCTAAATACCCTGCTCTCAGCACTAGACAACTTCCTATTGTGATGTATGAGAACTCCTTTCAGATTGTTTTGGTTGATTATCAACAGGAATTCCAACCATATCAGCTACAGGTAGCGAGACAGGTGAAGGTGCAGCTTGACTTGGTATTACTGGTTCCTCTGCAGCTGACTCATTTGTTTCTTGTGCAGGGAGATATAGCTTCAATTCTTGAGGTTTTTCATCCTCTGAATAAAGTCGGTCGCAGAAATAAACCCTTGTTATGCGTATGTTGGCATGAATCTGCATGCGAGCTGTTTCCACATAATTCGATCCATAAGCACGTCTGGTCAAATCGGGCAAACTAAACTGAAGTTGATTCCAACCATCAGAAAGCTCTACATGTAAAAAAATCCAATTCGTCATCCTTTCATAATTAGTGATATATAAAATACTGGGAATACTATGAAGTCATTTTGGGGAAACATTAAAATGGAAATTAAAAGTTTTTACATTTTTTTTATAATATGGCAATGCACATGCCTTATTGACTTACAAGAGAACCTCTGGTTTACTCTTCTGGGGTTTTGCTGAAATTTTGCATGGTGATAGAGTTGATAGTCAAACCAAACACCTTAAAATATTATAGGCCTATGAGAAGTGGTTTAGTTATAAAGATTAATTTAAGCTTTGAAAAATAAACCGCGCGCAATACATTCGAGTACTGTGTTCAATATTAATTTGCCGTGATAGCTCAGTCATATCAATTTTTATTCGTAAAATATATGCATTGAGTTAATAAATTATAAATATTTTTGAAATATTTAACTATTCAATCATAAAAATAAATTAAAATTATAAATTAATTAAAAAATATAAAAAATATATTATACGCTGACAAGATTTGAACTCGATCAGTTTTAACATCATGTATGGATCCAAGCACAAAGCGTAGAAGCAAGCACTTAAACTGATTGAACTACCGATATATGTGGAACATTGTACGTGTGTTTTTTTAAACTACTATTTCAAACCTTTCAGTAATTTTCATGATTTAACCACTTTGCATAGGCCTATAATATTTTAAGGTGTTTGGTTTGACTATCAACTCTATCAAGATGTGAAGTTTCATAAAAATTGCAGAATATCAAACCTGAGGTTCTCCTCCTTAGAAAGGCTTTTTACTCTATGTTAACAATTGGAAATATCAAATGTTTTGTAATAACTGTTTTGACCACATAAAATGTCTTTGCATTGGTATGTCTATATATATATATATATATATATATATATATATATATATGTTTATTTTTTACAAAAATTAAAACTGAAAATTTTAAATGAACTGATTTTTAAATAAAATTAATATAAATATCACTTACCCATTGGTATACAAGTGTAGACAAGTCCAACTCGTATCCTTGTTTCAGAATTAGAAAATCGAAATCTTCTATGCATGTCTTTATCATCTAAAATAGTTAAATCAAAAGAAAAATACTTCTTCATATTTTTCACAATCATTACCAAAAATGGTAATCTGATCCCTAAGGTTCTATATGGATCTACAGGAGTTGAGATATATGTTGTAGCATAATTTGTTCCCATAATTTCGAGAACCATCGATTGGATTTCTTCATCTGGCATCCTCTTAATGTGCCCATTTTGTACCTTTTGATAAAATAATTAATTGAAAACTAAATTAAATCAATTCAATTGTTACATACCTTTTTATCCCAAATAGCAAGTGGCTTTCCTCCAGTGCTGAACAAAATAGATAGAAAACCACTCTGATGTTTATTTCTAAACATTTTTTATGTTTTTATTCTTATAAAATACTCTCAATATATTTTGTTATATAAATATCATATGACAGCATTTGTTTTCAAGCTTGTGTAGCACACAGAGTACTTGATATTTTATTTTCCAGCTTTAAAACCTATGTAAAATTTAAGATGTATGGAATAATGCATAATCTCTCATTAAGTTGGTTGCACAATTTTAATTTTCCTTTTATGTACCATAAACAAAGTAGAAGATGAGATATGGAAAAAACTACAAAAAGTAATAAAATAATATGTATTTTGGCAGTCATTATCAATAAATCATTCGTAGTTTTAAAGTATTAAGAAATTAAGCTAATGAAGGATTTAACATCCTCTGTAATGGCAATACACGAAAAAAAAAAGTATTTTGGTCTGTTATATATGGATAAAAGGCAGTTTCGAACAATATATAAAAATATATCAATTGATAAAATGACTAGAAATATCTATATAGTTTGTGATACAATTTCAAGTATATAAAAAATGTACTGTCTATTTAATCTAGTCAAACAATATATTTTGGATGATTTATAATTTATTTAATTTTACCTTTTATTACAAAAATTTATTTGAATGATAAATTAAAGCTATTCTATGCATCATGTTGTGTAGTTGATGGCTTATTTTTAATAGCTTTCTTTTTTAGTTTTTCACTTTTATCTAAATTATTCTGGAAGTAAGTCGCTTCTTTCCTTGCTTGGGATATTTCAGCTCTAAGCCTTTGTTTCTGTGCAGCTCGCTCATATGCTAATCTTTCACTCAAGTGAACCCATTTAAATCGTGGTAAATACTTTATATTCCATATCATATCATAAAATTTAGATTTTTTTCGAGTTCCTATTCTTGTATTATTTAAATTTGCTGCAACTTGTTTGGCTATCTTTTTTCTTTGAAATTCAACCCAACCTTCAGTAAAATGCTTTGCAATGTGCTTGCCCTTTTTTGTAGAATTTTCTAAAAATTATTAAATGTACATTTAATTTGAAATTGTTATTTTTATATTCACAGCACATAGGCCGTAACGTCTAAGCTTTGCTCTGAAATGTTCTACTTTACACCGCAATTAATTATAAATTGAAATTATAATTATAAACAAAATGCAATTGTATAAATATTATATCCTCAACAAAAACCTTAAAGTTTCAAATCTTTCTCTAGCAGACAAAACGGTGTTATTAGAGTCCTGTGAAGACTCGATATTTACATCAATATTCGCTTTCATAATTGTTATATGTTTGATACTGAGTTTAATTCCGAAAGCAGGGAACATAGATTTAGGAGACAAATCATCAAAATAACAATGCAAAAGTACAGAAAAGTATTTAGTTCATGCTTTACCATCTGTAGCTGGCTGAAGGTAAACCCTGCCTAGTTCACCATACTGGCTGAATATTTCCCGAACTTTGGTCACGTTCATATATTGTGGGATAGTTGATAAATATATAATGCCACGTTTATATTTTTTGCTATTTACTTTAGGTGTAATACGTTCAGATTGTGCTTCGTCTAAGTTGTCTTGATCATTTGCAGAAACATTAACTTGATCCACTTCGTTATTATCTTCACATTCCATATTCGTCATTATCTTTTGTTTATAAATTATTATCGCTACGTATAAGCAATTGTGATTAATCAATGGGAAATATGCGATGTTTACAAAACATAATAATCAATTCAATCTTCAATCGTCGGTGGAACGAACAATCATTGGTAATCTAACCTCACTTTGTCCACGCATGTATCAAAGACATAAACCGCCGTACGATATTAAGTTATAAACACCGTGCTAATTGGTTGAACAGAAATGTGTAAGATGTCGCCAGCATACTCAAAAGTCATGCTTGATACGATACGAGCACACTTCAATTATAGGTTATGTCGTTATTGTTTATATGTGGTTAGAATTTTAACGTGATATTTTTGACTTGTGTTAAGTGTTATGGACTGAGAAAAGAGGTTAATATAGTAAGCACATCGTATTCTAATACTGCCTAGGGATACCAAGCTGTAAGTGTTTTATAGTAGTCAATTTATTTGCTTAAAATGTTACAAATCAAATACTTACTTAGTTTTAATATATTACAATTATTTTAGATTGAATGAAGGCTAGTAAAAAATCCGAAACCGCTAGACCTGCCTTCCCAAAAATTCAATTCAATCAGTTCTTCATCTTGTAAAATTTGTATCCGCACACACACACACATACATCCATTTTTTCCAAGGTATGCCAAAATATTCAGAAACGTAAGGATATTTAAAAATTTTTATTTTCGATTTTTTTGCGATTACTATAACTTACCCTACGGGAAGTTAAAAATTATCCCGTGCAGTTTGATTATGGGCGTTGAAGTAAAACTAAAAGCTTTAATCAAATTCTAACCATTTTTCAGTTATCTTTAATAACACATCTAGCACTATACAGTCAAAAATAATAAGTATTTTTTTCTAGTTTTCTAGAATTACATTTAATTTTTGAAAATACAAAAAACACCAACTATCACTTGCAGAGTTGTGTTTTCTGGTGTTTTTTGTATTTTCAAAAATTAAATGTAATTTAAATATAATATTAAAGAATGCGTAGCATATAAGTAACTGTTTTGAAATTACACTGAAGATGAGGCATACCATGGTTTCGAAACATCTGTAATTACCAAATAAAGTGTGTGTTAAAAATCTGAGTGTTGTATTGTTCATATTTAACATTTAATATATATATATATATATACTCGTATATATATATATATATATATATATATATATATCTTCTATATATATAAAAATAAGTCGAGTTTTCCTTCCTGACGAATTAACTCCAGAACGCACGAACCGATTTCGACAATTTTGCATTCGTTGGAAAGGTCTCGGGCTCCGCAAGGTTAATAGCTAAGGAAATTAGTTGTGCATGGCATCATGCCTTAATGCAAGCTGCTGGAACTTCACGCACCGTAATTAAAAATTCGAGTGATGACATTAGTGAGAATTATCAGAATTATGCTTGGTTAAGTCAACGAGTGATTCTTGCCGCAAAGAATAATGATGTACACGCACTGAATTTCACAATTCAATCAAAAATTGCTGGCGATTTGGTGACATACCAATGATTCTGACTGGTCTTCCGTTTGACTTCAAACGATTGCAATTTACAGTTCGCAAGGCCAATCGCTTAGTGTTTGCGGGATAAATAAATTTCAAATAGATTATTTAGAAAATCATTGTTTTTCACATGGGCAGTTATACGTTGCCTGTTCACGAGTTGGAAAACCATCTGCTTTGTGTTAACGTCAGACCAAAAAACAAAAAATGTGGTTTACCAAGAGAACTTAGAGAAATTCAACTCAAAAACACTTAATTTTTGTAATCGAAATAAATTCATTACTGTTGTATAATAAAATCAAATTTTTCCTTTTCAAATATAAAACAAACAAAAAATTTCTTCATCTTTTCCACGAAACCATCTGGTGGCGAAACGGAGTTCGTCGGGTTTGCTAGTATATATATATATATATATATATATATATATGTGTGTATATGATTTTTCTAAAGTGTTAATTATTAATTTAAAATTAAGGGGCACAACTATAGTGTAACCGCCTAAAAAAATGGTGATTTTTGGGAATTTATATTAAAAAAACTACGCTATCAATCATTTCAAAATTTTTGGAATATCTTTATAGATGTTTTAAGAATACATAGTAAAATTTTTGAAGAAAAAAAAAATTTAAAGTTATCGTCGATCTCCAACGACGGAACAAAAAATTGGCTTTCACTGCTGCAGTCATTCCGGCCTTCTACCTGGATGAAATTTAGAAAAAAATAATTCTCGTTAAATTAGATAATATTGTCTGTAAAAAACTACGAACAAGAAAAAAAAAAACTGACGAAATGACGGCGTTTTTTAAAAAAAGTCGAATTTTACCCAAAATTTTGATCGTTTTTGGACTGCCAAAATTCGATTTTTGATCCGATCAAAAAATCGATAGTTCATTTTACGGAGAACTATATATAGAACATGTAAAAAAAAATTCATAGTGATCGGATCATTTGATTTTTAGTAATCGCTGCAGCAAATTCGGAAAATGCTGTTTCGAGAAAAACGCGTTTAAAGATAAAATGATCGTTATGCTATATACCAGGGGTCGGCAAGCTTTTAACTGTGGTGTGCCGAGCCACTCTATAACCAGGTTCTGGGGGAGAAGAATTATAACCAAATTTATCTTTTAAACATTTTTATTAACCTAGTGGGGTGCATGGCATCGTGCCTTAATTCAAATTGCTGGAACTTCCCATACTGAAATTTAAAATCTTGGTACTGAACCCAAAAAAAAATTACACAAAATATGTACACAGTATTAAAATCTCTATAAAATATCTGATAATTTGATATACATAAGTCCAATTGGTGTAAAATTACTACAATGTTTGTAAAAATACTACAATGGGTGTAAAATTACTACAATGTTTGTAAAAATACTACAATGGGTGTAAAATTACTACAATGTTTGCAAAAATACTACAATGGGTGTAAAATTACTACAATGTTTGTAAAAATACTACAATGGGTGTAAAATTAATACAATGTTTGTGATCAATACTACAATGGGTGTAAAATTACTACAATGTATGTAAAAATATTACAATGGGTTTGAAATTACTACCATGTTTGTAAACAATACTACAATGGGTGTAAAAATACTACAATGTTTGTAAAAATACTACAATGGGTGTAAAATTACTACAATGTTTGTAAACAATAACAATGGGTGTAAAATTACTACAATGTTTGTAAAAATACTACAATGGGTGTAAAATTACTACAATGTTTGTGAACAATACTACAATGGGTGTAAAATTACTACAATGTATGTAAAAATATTACAATGGGTGTGAAATTACTACAATGTTTGTAAACAAATTACTGCAATGGGTGTAAAAATACTACAATGGGTGTAAAAATACTACAATGGGTGTAAAAATACTACAATGGGTGTAAAAATACTACAATGGGTGTAAAAATACTACAATGGGTGTACAAATACTACAATAGGTGTATATAATTACTACAATGTTTGTAAACAATACTACAATGGGTGTAAAATTACTACAATGTTTGTAAAAATACTACAATGGGTGTAAAATTACTACAATGTTTGTAAACAATACTACAATGGGTGTAAAATTATTACAATGTTTGTAAAATACTACAATGGGTGTGAAATTACTACAATTATATTTCAACATTTTTTCTTATTTAAAAATCACTTCGTCTCGATATATTTGCTATTGCCCTGATTATTTTGTAGAGTGCCATGCAGAACGCCGTCGTGTGCCAAGCCTGGCACGCGTGCCGTAGGTTGCCGATGTCTGCTATATACTATAAATACACTCTTTAAATGACTGTAACTCAAAAACTATTTAAGATATCGATTTAAAATTTTGGTATGTTATTTTTAAATAACCTATCGAAATATGGAAAAATTGAAAATTTGATTTTTTGAAAATTTCACACTAGTTGTGCCCCTTAAATAATTCAAAAGATTTCGGTCCACATATTTGTATCGTGCAAACTCAATTTTCTAGGATATTTTAACAGATCGAAAGTATTATATAATTATAAAATGGTAAAATATCTGAATATGTCTATATAATAAATGTTTTAAAGCGAATAATGATACATAGAAAACGAATTTAGCGTTAAAGTTACTCATATTATGAAGTTTGTTTTGTGTTGAGTTGAAAGCAATCATTAACTATAAGGAAACAGCTGGAACTATTTAGTAATTAACAAACGAAGCCGTTCAACTAACCAACCGTTTGACTGCGGTTTCCTCATTTACCGTGCTCATTTATCTTGTTTTGAAATATAGAAAGGGTTCATTATGTTATTGCATGCCAAATTAATTTGTTGGATGGTGACGGATTCGGATTTTTAACAATTTGTTCAGCTTCAATCAAAAGGAAATTCAATTGACTTTCCGAAAGAAAAGTTTGTTTATTCCAGAAAATCCGACTTGCTCATTTTTACGTAAAAAATGTATGTAATTATGTGTGTGGAAGTGTGTTTGTATGTGAACCGACATTGGATTTTTGTTGACATTTTTTAATAAAAGACTGCACTGATTTCAAAAGTTTATAAGCCATTCGATGAAACTCGATAAGGACTCGCGTAGATTTGTTTTGCCAGACGATTGGCCGTACCGTTTCGTACGAACTTGCAGAAAATGCAATTCTTTTATCCCAGTTTTTACAAAAAGACCTGATTCAATTTCGAAAATTTAAAAACCATTCGAAAGACATCGGTTGGAGATCGTGCTAATTGGTGTTTAACGAACCGGGTAGTTTTCTCGTTTTTAGTACGAGTTCTAAGTGATTTAATTATAATTTTTTTTAGGTTTAGAATAATGGGCCGTGTCGAAACTTCAAACATTTATCGTCATTATTTTAAAAGTTGTGTAATCCAATTCTTGTTGATCAAATCGATTATTTACACGAGTCCGGATTTTTTATTTTGTCCTTAACCCTGTGGTTTCCAACCTTTTAGTACCGAGCCTCCCCGTTTCTTTAAACAATGTACCCCCAATCTTATTTTTTTTATAATCTGATTTTAAAAATACTAATATGATATTATTAATTTATTTATATCGGGCTACAAATTAATATACAATAATATGTAAAATTATAGGGTAAAGACAGGCTTAAAGGTCCGCGAGAGTTTTTAGTTAATCGGAAGATTAGCGGCAATATATTATATTTTGAAAATCCATAACAAAAGTATTTTCTTTCGTTGTTAGTTTTTTAGTTTTGAGCAATGTTGTTTGGTTTACGATGCTTGTAGTTTATAATGTTTAAGAATACGTTATTTAATGATGAATAAGTTATTGTTAATATTAAGTTAGATTCGACAGTTTTTTTTTATAACCTCTATAAAAGCTTACACGTGGGTGGGGTAAAAAGAACCAACTAATCCTTTGCCCTGGCAAACGTATAAACCCTAACAAAAAGTAATTAAG